TATGGCTGTCTGGCTCGGGACGGCATCGCACTTCGCTGGTGAAGTCTCCGTCGCATCAACGGGACAAGTCCTCCCCTGTCTCTATGGAACAGTGGCTTCTTGCATGTCGCCCATTGTATACTCCGTTCTGATTACGCTTGTGCGGCCGCAGGATTACGATTGGAATGACTTCAGGAAGGTTAAGCTGTCTCTTGAGAAATTGGATAGTGATTTGACGACTGCGCACCGTCACACGCCTTCTTCTCGTGCGGATGATGGTAGTGGTGAGGATGGAGGTAGGAGTGCTGAGGATCAGAAAGAGCTGAAGCGGTGGGGTCGGATTGCGGCTTTTTGGGCTGTGGCAACCTTTTTGGGTCATTGGGTTATTTGGCCGTTGCCTATGTATGGTTCTGGTTATGTCTTTGGGAAGAAGGTATGTGGTACCCTTTGGCTTGGAACTCTCGCTGTTCTTGGCTAACTGTTGATTTAGTTCTATATTGCCTGGGTGGTCGTCGCTATCATCTGGCTTTGGCTCAGTATGTTAGTTGCTATCTTCTATCCAATCTTTGATGGTGGTATTCAGCAGATTCGTGACGTTTATCGGGGGCTGAGAGGTCAAAATGTTGTCGAGGGTGCTCGGAGTAAAGATGACAAAGGAGAAATTAGTTCTCCGTCTGTTGGGTCTATCAGTGATGTTACTCAAACAGGGGATCCTCAAGAGAACAAATCTTGAATCATTTGGTATCAAGTCACTACTGGGATGAATGGGGTTCTATGTCACGATATTTGGTATAAGCTATTCTACGTTACTCATTGTTAATTAACATCTCTACATCTGATATCTACGTAAAATCCAATCAAATTTTGATCTCAATCGGTTTTTTTTTTTTTCAATTTCATAAATCCTGTGCAAGATAGATGCAAAAGCAAGTGGCGCACATTCCATCAACCATCAAGGCTGTCGGAGATGCCCACATCACATAACAACCATAAATGTCTCAATTCATATGTCAGCGAGATATTTTCAATCTTGCAATATTGACAAAAGAATAAGAAATCCTAAGGGAAGCCACTCTTCAAGTTATCGTACTTGGAGGCAGGGTAGTGCAGCTGATTGCCGCTCCGCTCCAAAGCACCGACACCTCCAAGGGTATCAACAACCTGTATGTGATGTCAGTAAAATGTAAACCAGATATAAAAAGCAGAACTGAACATACAGTGGTAATCAAACTGTCGCCACCAGTCTTGTCAGAGCTGCTCTCCCACCACATTCCACCGCCGAGTCCACGGGACTTGATGTACCGGGCTTTCTGACGCGCAATCTCGGGTGTGTCGTAGCTGACAAACAGTCGGCTGTCTTTGTTGTAGCAGTAGCTTGCACCCAGTTTGTCCAAGACGGTCACGGCACAGCCGTTAAGTGGCAGACCCTTGTAGTCCCACACGCCGTTCTCCCATGTGCCTGCTCCAACACCGTTGTAGGGCTTTCCTGGGCCGTCGGTATTGGTAAACGCTCGGCCGTACAGTGGCATTCCCAGTACGATCTTGTTGGCAGCTACGCCCTGCGCGGTGTAGTAGTCGACTGCTTGGTCCGTGTTAAATGGGGTGCTGGCCGGGTTGTCGGTCGACGCGTGGAGGTTGGCATTGTTGCCAGCAACTGTGTCCCAGCTACCGGAGTAGTCGTAGGCCATGAGGTTCCAGAAATCCAGGTACCGGTCCATGTCCTTCAGACGTTCCTGACGGTAGCGGCTTGGGCCTGGGCTGTGTTAGCTGTTTTGGAATATTTCAACGATGCAGATAAAACTCACCGGCGGGAGATGCGGCAGTAAGCAGGAAATGGTAGCCTTGGGCATTAGCCGAGCTATAGGAATCCAAGGACTGGAATTAATTAGTCAGGGCCCATAGACATTCATAAAAGAATCACATACTGCACGAAGTCGACGGAGTGCATCGACAAACTTGTCCGCCTGGTCGTCAGTGGCAGGGTACTATAGTTCGCGTAAGCATCAGTAACCCGAAGATCGCAACCATTGAAGACTTACCTCATAATCAACATCAATACCATCGAAGCCAAGGTTCTTCAGCAGGTCCGTGGCAGAATCAGCGAACTTCTGACGTCCAGCCTCAGTTTCAAAGGCAGAAGCAAAGCTGGGAGAGTAGGTCCAGCCTCCAATCGACAGAAGAACCTTGAGCTTGCTGTTATTCTTCTTTAGTAGGAACAGCTGCTTGATACAGCCATAGACATTGTTTCCGGAATCATTCCAAGAATCAGTGGGGTAGTGCTTGTCAGTGTCTGCCCAGGAGTCCGACAAGTAGACCTCGCCAGTGCCAGCACGAATATTGGCAAATGCATAAAGCACATGAGTCAGTCGCTCGGCGGGAAGATTCTGAGGTTGGAAGTTACGACCGTAGATGGCCTGAACAATCTGATATTAGCGTGACTTCCCTTTTTTGTGTGTTTGGATAATGACGTTTTCCATATCCCCGGTTTCATCCAGTCCACGGGTAATATATAGACATATGTAATACACATTTAGGCATGGTCTGAACTTACCCAGTTCACATAGTATGCCACCGAGCGATACCCGCCAACATCACGAGATTCAATCTCACTGGTGTTGGTGCTCAGGGCAGGAATGTAGGCAGCGTTGGCGAGCCAGCTCAGGCCTAAAAGGAAAGGAATGACAAATTGCATGATGAAGGAGTGTGTCGAGGTGATGTTCTAGATGTCTCGGGCCAGCGAGGGTTGGATGGTGAAGGTTGTTGAGGTCGAGGATGAGGGGAATGACCTCACTATTTGTAGTCGAGGTAGACAAACAAACTATTTCCTCCGCGGAGTATTGAGATGGACAATAGTAATTGTCCAGTCCATTTAGTCCGTTTGTCTGCAACCCCAAATGGGTAATTGGTAGGTACCCTGTTACCTAAACGGTGACCTGGATGGTACCAAGGAGTCTACATTGTTTCAGCATTGATATCGGAGGAGTCAATGGGATTCTACTAAGTTCTCACACTTAGAAAGTGAGGCAGCACCGGCGATTTGACGTGGTCAATGGGAGCATTGTGTGTTTCCTGTCGAGGTCCACGGCGAATTAGGCAGCGCCACAATGCATTCCCTCCACATTATCAAGGGCCTATTATGATATCTACTGTGTACTGACGGTGTCTTTGATAGTATAGTAGACACCAAACCCATGGCACACCAGACAAATATGTAACATCTTGAAATTGCAGGTTACTCCCTCTGTGACAACTCGACTATTTGTCCTCGTGGGGCTGAAGATTCCCCGGCCAATCAATTCGAGAAACGCCTGAGGATGGGTGACATTGTCATATGAAATCCCCTTATAATGCACAGTCAGTATTGAGAAATATGACCCGGGTCATATCAAATTGTTCTGGCCTAGGAACCCATATCTTGAGACGTTGCAGCATCACCCCGCTCGTCTGGAATCCTACAGTAGGACCCCTATTAATGAATATAACTAAGTGGTAGTATCAGGGAAATAAACGGGTTTATATTGTTTAAGGTTATCATTTAGGGTCTAGGGATATGCAAGCTGACATACATTAATTAATGTACCCCGTTCGTCCGGTCTGCAGGAACGGTCCCTGTGAGAATGCCAATGTAACACTGAGACCATGCGACAGGGACATGTGCCATACCAACGCCATATCAAGGCCATATCGAGGATAAATTCTAAGATTCAATCCATGATCGGAGGGAAGGGAATAATTCCTCAGGTGGCTTAACTTTTATACATCTAGTCCTTTTGCAATTTTGGGATTGAAACATCACCGCGTAGAGATAGTTGATTACTATTCTGCACTAAGTTAGACTTGAATGCCAGAATCTCAATGAGCATATAACTAGATTCCTGAGAGAATACCCCTCAGTTCGAAAGATACTACATTCAAATGTGTACCTTAAATCACACCAGACCTCCAACAAGCAAGATCGCAAGTTGTCCAATGCTCCAGAAGCGCCAAAGAGCTCCAATCGAAGTAGATCACTTCACGGTAACTCTGACCTCCCCCACCAAGGCAATGCCCATCTTCAACCGATCCAAAAATTTATCCCCGTCCGCAGTTATCTGGGCAGCGGCATCCAGGGCATAGATCTTGGCTGCAAAGGCCTGGTAGGCAACCTGATCTGAGAAAGTAAGCTCAGCGTAGGCGTCAAAATCGAAGTCTGGCTGTCTCCCACGCAGTATAGTGGCCGGGGTGAAGGCGTTGCGTGCGGTAGAGCCATCCGGGGGAGTTTCGACTGTACTGCGGGAGATATAATTTCGATGATGAGAAAGAGGGAAATCCGGGCCTGCAATCTTCTTGACAAGTTTGATGTGCGCTTCGTAGCATTTCTTGAATTCTTCCGGTGTCAGATGGGGGTTGCGGTAAAGAAAGACTAGCATCTTGACAGGCATTTTGAAATCCCGAACTGTAGTGGATAAAAACTTAATGGAGAGACTGGGCTTGGATATGCTGGATTAGTTCGAATATTAAACGATTTGAAGATTTAAACATACTATAATCAGCCGGTTATTTCTCGGGGGGTTTTACTCTCGGTCGTTACTTTGTACCTTAGGAGCGGTGCAACGCGGGATATGCGGTATATGGCGTAGTATTTCTGAAATCTACGGAGTATTGTAGTATAAGATGAGATATCCCTGTTCGGTTTTGTACTTCTAGATAAGTCCAACCGACTAAATAGAAGGTAAGGATGGCGATCTGAAATCATTGTTTCTAGGGTTCATATTTCTAAAACAAAGATGAAGACTAGGGTTGTCAGCCGAGTACATGTGGAATAATGAATTGTAAAATCATAGATATAAACGACAAGAAAGAAAAAAAAAAACAGGTTTTATGTGAACGTTAGGGTATAATTGAAACAAAAAGCAAAAACAAAACATATAAACGCTGTACAAAAACAGGACTTTTTTGATATTTGCCAACAGAATTAGGGGTATTGGTTGGCGATTAACAAACGAGGATGAACAATAAGCCATCCACATCTCTCGTATTAATTAACGAGTGGCTCTCAGAGTGCTCAATCGTTCCGAGTACTCCGGCGGGGCAAGGCCCACATCAACCACGACATCACCACGAGTATTGGAAAAGTCGGTGGGAGAAGTCACATTGCGCGGGTTGAAGAACTCCTCTAGCTCTTGCTGTGTGACCGTGACACCGAGGTGAGACTTTATGGGTTCAGCGCACTTTGGCTGGCTCGTGAACTGGACGGGGACACGGAGGGAGATTGTCGGTGTCATGAGGTTGGTTGCGGGGGTGTGGTATGTCAATGAGAGATCGAGGGCGTAGATGCGAGACATCAGACAGGAGTGGAAAGTTGGGACGAAGGCTTTGGACTTGGGCAGCGTGACGGGGACGACGACTGATGCGGTATAGTAGGTGTCTCCGGTGAATGCGGAGGACGGGCCGGTTGATGAATCGGAGGAGGATGAGTCGGTGGAGTCGCGGCGCATGGTGTCGGCGGCTGTCGATTGCTTTGTCCACTGGGCGGATGCGACACACATGGTTAATAGAGGGACGCTTTCTGTGTAGAGGCCGCATCCGATGTGGGCGAAGGGCATGCCGGTCGTGGATGGGAAGTCCTCCCATGGGGCTGCGCTGAAGAATGTGCTCACACGGAGTTTGCTGGTCATTGTTCCGAGTGGGGGAGGTTGCTCGTCGCCGACTGGATCGAATCGTAGGTTTACGGTGGCCACGGTGCTCACGGTGTCGGTTGGCTCGCCGTCTGGAGGAAGCAGTTGAATGGGTTTGGGCTGGGATGATGAAGCGACGACGCGTCCTAATGTGCCCCGAAAGGTTCCACGCTTGACACTCTTCTCTTTGCGTGTGCAGAGAGATGGACTGGCCGAAATTTCCACCGGGGGCTCTTCTTCGACGGTTGGGATGATACGGACTTTCTTGGCAATTCCGGCGATAGCCACGACTCCAGGGCCGACGAGTTGCTTCTGAAGAACAGACGCTCGAACCGTGTAGGCGATCTGCGACATGCTAGGAGCTATGTCATCTAGTAGTGTCTTGCCATTACTAGCAAGGATGGGATCACCCAATGTTGGCGGAAGCATGGTGTGGGATCGTTGAAGGTGAACATTCTTCTTGGGGTGACTGCAGACCTGGGGCAACAGGCGGTCCGGGACGACGAATGTGAAGGGGTATTCATATGATCGGCCACTCTCCAGGACTCGAGGGGTCGGATATTCCATTTCATCAATAGGCTGGCGCAATTTGAGAAACATCTGTTGTGATCCGGTGCGGCCAGGGCATGATGCCCGTTCTACCGTCGTTCGAGCTACACCTTTTCTTTAATTAGCATTGTTTATAGGCCTGATTTGAATGGCAAGTACCTTCAAACACAATCTCAACCTCTTCAAATCGAGTCTCATGCTCAACGGTGACGGTTATACTGCCATCAATACTCTCTCCGGTGGTATAAGAGTTAACATGTCCTGGCTTTTGTCCTGCAATATTTATCTCGATTTTGGGCTGTGAGCGTCGAGTCCAAGCATCTAGCCTGTCGGAGCCAGAGCTGATGATTGAAGTTGCGGTCGACATTGTTTCACAGGGGAGATATTATTATGTATGAAGGCCTGTCCCACAGGGGGAATGTAGGAACAATATGGCAGCCGGCACGTCAAAATAAAGTGAAGATGAAATATCGAAATGAAATCAGGTCAAATATGGATCAGATGCGGTCCTTCTTAAAGAAAAATAAAGAATAGAAAAAAGGAAAAAAAGAAAAAAAAAAAAAAAAAGAAATAGTAAACGGTGGAGCCGTTGACAACCGCAATGGAGTCAAGAGAAACAAGTGTGGAGGAGCCCTAACAATGTGAGCAACCTTGGAAGGTTTCAGATGGCCTCATCAGATCTCCCCCAAATATCCCCCAATGTGTTCTTATAAATCAACATGAAAGTGACTCACAAGTCAACCGGAAGGCGCATCTACAGTATAGTTCGGCTCAGTGATAACCCGCTTGTAACGCCTCCAAAAGTAAAAAAGCCGAGCTAAAGGTATACACTTCAGTATAAGGAAAGACTAACCAGGACACAATTCAGTATAAGGAAGGCGGAGCCAAGGAGTCATTGGGGTCCAGGGAGTGATTGGTCAAATGTGAGGATCCGTTCTTGCTGCACGCCCTTGGATTGACATTCCGCTTGGTCAAAAGACATCGAAGAGACTAGTTCAATTCAGCATGACACATGATATTCAGTGTATTCAAGGGATTCAAGGGATTCAGGGGACTCAAGGGCGTTAGAGGTCATGTTTTTATATAACTATATCTTGTAGCTCATTCAGATGTTTCAGACTATTCAAACTAGTCTGAACTATTCAGATCTTTGAAGTCAAAAGAGTCAACTTCCAAAAACCAACTTCATGGGTCAAGGGGGGAAAAGAAGTGGAGTGCGCCTTGGGTACTCCGTACTTCGTACAAGATGCACCCACAACATAGGCACGCCCTTTGGACTCCACTCGTCCACATTCCCAAGTCCAAGCTTATGCTGTTGCTAAAAGTAGCCAATCAGCTTGTTATATTGCTGAACTTTGTTCATTCGAATAACCAGGATTTACAAAAGCAAATATCCCATTGAATTTCATATGTTTATAACACTCTTTGGTCATATTTGAGGACCTTCGAGGGTTTTTCAATCACACGGAGTCAACAAGTTTTCCCGCGGAGAAGAATCGATGGACCCCGGCCTAGTTTCGGCCCCAGAGATTTCCGGCCATAACCGAGATTTTTTACTATGCCGAGCTTCTTTTTCTTCTTTCCCGGAGTGTCGGAGTAAACAATCGGAGAGAAGATTGAATGGCGCAATTCGATTTCGGTGTCCAAAATAGAAGTTGTCGGGAGACCGATATATTTGATCGTCGATCATGTAGTTAGTTTGCAGCTATTTACATTTGCATATTATATTTCAAATAGATCAGAGTAATGCTAAATGCATCTGATTAATGAACTACATTGTCAATAACATACTACATAACTAGTTATAGATCATAACTATGTTGTCACATGTTATACATCACATTTTACATCTTGCGCCTTCCACCTACAACGCCAAGAAGGGGGGAACACCCAAAGAACAACCATCTCAGAAAATATCAACAGGTTTATGGAATAGAAAGATTTGGAATAGGTTTCATTGTTTCATTCGGTCAGAAGATTAAAAAAATAATATGAATTTACAGGATTGTCCCAACTGATAAATTACGACGCAGATCCGTGGTGCATTGCGAATCAAATCGTACTCAAAAAGCGTCGACGCGTTTGCACGCTTCTTCTTGTCTCGTACAAGCCAGCACTAAAAGTGACCGGCTGCATCCAGCTCAAGATTAGCCGAGGGGAAACGGCAGACCGAGCGAGGCAAGAGACATCATCATAAAAAAAGACTCTACGAAGGAAAAGGGGAGGGGAGGGGTGTATGGAGTACAAGACCAAGGTAATCAGCCCTCGGTGGAAAATTAGTCGTGGTCCAAAGCCACACAATCATCATCCATTAACAAAGACGTAGGTATCTGAAGCCCGTAGACAGGACAGCAAGAAACGCCAGCAGACGCCGCAACAAACCCGAAATCAATACGCCACCCGTGTTCGCATATCCTGGGAGATGTTAGTAAAATGAGAAATACAACAAACAAGGGGACATCGGCAAAACTTACCGAAATCTTGCGCTCGATCTCCCGAACAGATCGATCGAGTTCCCCGGCAATCATCAACTTGGTATCATTAGGCAGTAAGAGATACATTTCACAAAGGTCTCCATCAATGACGCCCTTCACAGGGGCATAGTAGCCGCGGTACATCAAATGGTCTCGTCCAGCCAAAGGGGGTTGCTGGGAAGCCAGCTGGGTTTCCAAAAGTTGGAAAAAGTCCACATCCTCACGGCTGGCAAAAGGAACAAACATTCCAATTGTACCTTGGAGGCCAGTCCAGACAACAATGTCACGGCCGCCAGCGACTAATTGGGTCTTGTGCAAACTGGTGGGAATATCCTGGGCGAAGAAGTGAACCATCAACTCGAGACGGTGTGGAGTTCCATGGAGATAGCCCTTTTCATGGATGAGGTGTGCCCCAGATCCATCCTCGTCCGCCTGTTCAGAGATCTTGCTAGGGCAGCGCACCAGCCACAGATTTCCGAACTTGTCACCACCGGCAGTGGTTTCATAATCAACCATGGTTGTACTCGATGTCCAGCGTGCGATGGAATCATCCGCAAATGGAATCAAGACGTTGTCCTGGTACTTGTAGACAACGTAAGTGACACTCTCGCGGACGTCGCTGACAATGATTCGGCTGCCTTGGGTTTTCAGGCCCACAATGGTCTTGGGGACCACGGGTGCTTGACATTTCCGCAGTAGTTGCTTCATGCCAAGGTCGTACACACGGAGAATGGGGCCGATACCTGCAAGGAGACGGCCTTGGAAGCCAAGGAGAGCGAGAGGAGGCTCATCAACTTGCGTTTTGTGAATGAACTCCAACTCCCGGCCATCCTCCTGGAATCGATAGATATGGATGAAACCACAAGAAGACGAGGGAGGGCTGACTGTCATATCCTTGGCGGTTCCCACAACCAAGAAAGTTTCATCATCTTGACTGGAGAAGGATACCGCTGCAACGCTGACTGCTGCCTCATTATCCGTCAGGTCAAGAGTGGAGATCACAGATTTGGTGGTGATCGGGTCCACAATCTGGACACACGAAGCCCAGTGGCCAGTGCCTCGGGGATATCCAAAGTCTGCAGGTGGGAGGTCTGCAACCTCCCCATTCTGAGCCTGAGAATCATCAATCAGCCTCTGCCGGGTGGCAGGAGAGAGGACATTGTTGTCAGATTGAATGACGTAGAAGAGGGGCTGGTCGGGATGCTTCACAAAGCGTCGAGGAGTGTAAGAGAGAGGGATCGACTCTTGGAGCATGTTGTTGTCCAGTTTTTCAACAGTGAAGATGCTATTTTCCGTTAGTACCAGTCCAGAATGATTTGCTGTCTCAACATGGCATAAGAGGGGTTTGATCTCAGAAGGAACAATTGGAATTTTTCTTTTAAAGTTTCATCCACATAAAGGTTCGGATTGATTTTCTCATCACAGATCAGGGGGATTGGGGGAAATTTAAAGATGGGATGAATCACATACCGTAGACTGCGGCCTTGAATGCCGATCATGCCTTCCACACACTGCTCACTGGCGAAATTCCATCCCCACTCTAGTCCGACGTAGTCCAAAGGAGTGAGCATAAAGCTCTTGGTTTGAACGTCAGAGTATCCCAGCCAGGGACGGGTGCTAAGCGCCAGAACAGCCGTTTGGCCCTTGACGGAAACCTGGGATAATTTCACAGGCTTGGCACCGATGAAACGAGTTCTAGTATCCGAGAGCTCACCAGTCACCTCATCCAACACGGTACGAAGGTAAACACCAGAGTAAAGACCGATATGGAGATAAAGGGTCGTGCCGCCCGAGCTCGAGTCAGCCATGGCCATAATTTGCAGGGCAGATGGTGCAGACGTCAATGCTTGCACTGATTTGTTCTCGAGTGTGGAGTCTGGATCCAGGCTGAGAATGCGGACGGTAGAGTCATCACATCCCACAGCCAGGAATAAGCTTCGCATGCGGCCCTCGGGGACCTCTCCCATACTCAGAGAGGTGACGGTGCCAGACATCTGTCGTCGCTCATCATACTCTGCCAATGCCCCGTCTGCGTCCAGCTCAAAGTAGACAATTTCACCGGAGCTAAGTGCCACTGCAACTTGACGTTCATTCGTGGCTGCTGCAACGATGGACCGGTGCTGTGGGGCAGGCCATTCATTGACTCGCTGGTCTGAGAGGATGTGACGAATACCTCGAGGGTGAACTTGGACTAAGGAATCCTCACCAAGTTGTTGCACTGCCAGAGTTGGAGCCGAGGAGAGGAAGCCTGTGTCTGAAACTTCTTCGACAATTTCGCCGATGCTCAGGACGAGGGTGCCATTCGCAAAAGAGAGAATGATGTATGTGTGGAACTCATCGTCTCGCGTTAACTTGGTTGTCCATACAGCCGAAGGCACCTGTTGAAGGTCCGACTCCACGATCTCAGATACCTCGAGTCCGTGCTTCAGAGTCCGGAATGTGCTTCGGGCTCCAGAGCCACAGATGGTGTAGATTTGAGGAGCGTCATCGTCACTCAAATTGAGGATTTTACTGTCAATCAGAGGACTCAACGAGTTCATGCTTTCCATGAGGTTGACATTTTCAGCGCCTCGGGGGTGGAAGTAGATCGGCGCGGAGGGCACAGAGTGATCTGCCGAGAATGAGTCGCTGGAAAACATTTCGTCGGGGTCGTCACCCAGTTTTTCGAACTGATAAAAGTGGTGATTTCCAGATTCACAGGCAGCATAAAGGAAACCGCTCTTGAGGATCAGCAGGTTCGTGCACACCGGAATCGTGTCGAAGTATTTAATTGTCAGTCTCTTCACTTCTCCAGTAGGTGTGCCCTGTAGGTCTTCAACCATTTCCAGGTTCAACTTCAACAGATCACCATCCTCGGTTTGGAGAAGAAAGAAGAAAGCGCCCCTCATCTTGT